CACTAACAAATCTTCCAGAAGCAACCTTAGTTTTTCCCAGGAGGTCAATGCTGATAGCGTTATGAGTTACACATTTCCTTAAAACATCCGCCATACATTCCAACGGAACCATACAAGGTTGTGTCCATGGGATTAAAGAATATCACAAACATTATTCCAGGATTCCAATAAAATCGATTTTTCCACAGTCTATATTTAAAGATAGATGTATATATGTTGATGCATGTTGATCCTATGCCTGTAGGTGACCTGTGTTGGGCAGATTATTGGAGCCATTGTAGCAGACACGAGAGACCAGGCCAAGAGAGCAGCAGAGAGAGTGAAAGTTACCTATGAGGATCTGACCCCTGTCTTCTTCACTATTGAGGTTCACATCCGTCACTTCTTCAGCTCCCACAGGACCTGAGCAAATGTGCTCCAATTATTTTTAAACTAACCGGAATCTATAAAGGTTCAGTGGAATTCAGCTGGAACTGAGCTGAGTTCAATCAAGAAAACATTTTATATATCTTAATTGACTGGTACAAAAAAAAAACAACTTAGAATGTTTTGTCAGTTTAATCTGCTGTTATTAAAACTCAATAAATGAAAACCTAAATATTTTTGCTGTTGTAAAAATAGGTAGTCAGCAAAATCAAAACCCACCTGACGTATAAGAAAAACAGAGTCCATATATTGAAACACAGAGTCTCTTTGATCCTGCTGAATGCTGAAGAAGCTGTTTTATATTTGTTATAAGGTGCTTGTGCAACTAAAATACCCAATAATCTGACTAATAATTGCCTGAATGTAACTTAATAAAGCACATCTTACAAGGTTTAGAATACAATTTTCAAATACTACTGTGGGTTTGTAGGATCAGAATGACCAATCCATTGCTAGTACTGTTAAATAAATGTGTACATATGGGAGGTCTCCCTTGTTTATTCTGGTGAGGGACAAATCTGTCTGGATTGTTTTTTTCTCCGCCCTTCAAATACAAAATCTTCTTATTCTTGCTTGTTCAGGAAGCCATCCAACACCAGTCCTTCTTTAACCCTAAGAGGAAACTGGAAAGAGGAAATGTGGATGAAGCCTTTGAAAAAGTGGATTGTATTCTTGAAGGTAAAACATTGTAAAGCAAGCTATGAATTAACACTAGTGTGACAACCCATTGGGCATGTTGTGACAGAGCCTTTAAAGTAGGCAGGTTCAGGCCAACCAGACACACCAAACACACAGGTGTAAAGTTCAAACGACACTAGTATTTTTTTATTTATTTTACAGTGCATGCAAAACAAAAGTCTAAGCCCCTCTTTGAACTTCTGACTATCTTCGTCTTCTCGCAGTCCCTAACTATCAAAGCTGAGCAGGTGAACTCCTTGCTGACTTCAGACAAACAATTTAAAGATCTCCCCTGAGACTCTTTGGTCTTTGGTTAATTCATCTCCCTTGGTTAAGTGGAGAATAGAGGTACACAGCAGACAGCAGACATGATTCCAACTGAGATGCTCCTTCATGCTTTTTATAAGGTCACATGACCAATTGTTTTCAAGCAACTGGTCAGGTGACTGAGAGCGTTAGCCCATTCCTCCACAGGGGGAATTTAACACTATTATTGACATGGCTGTTATAACACTAAACACATAACTCAACAGGATGATTCATTAAGCACAAAAACATTTCTATTCTTTTTATTTTTTACCTTTCACTGTGGAATAAACTGCTACTTTTTCTTTTCCAGCTCTCTAATTTTATACTAATAATGGATTAAATGTTTGGATAAAAAACAATTCACCCAATCAAAGCCTTGGAAAGGTCAGTTATTGGTAGTTGAAACATGAGATGTGTACAAATTCTCTGCAATTGTCTGTCAGTGACAGGGTTGTTCCAAAGTCTACACATTGGTGGTCCAGAATGGGTTTTGTCATTAGCCAACCACAAAAGGCCAAAAACATCAAGAGCTGAGTGGCTTTGACTCTGTCAGGACAAGCTGTAAACAAGTTTTTTTATCTGTTAACAGGACAGATTTACATGGGTGGGCAGGAGCACTTTTATATGGAGACACAAGGTGTCATCGCTGTTCCAAAAGGGGAAGATGGTGAAATGGAACTTTTTGTGGCAACTCAACACGCCGCATACACCCAGGTAAGACACTTTTGCTTTAAACCTGGCTGTACTTTAACACATGTAGTATTATAAAATTAATAAAACTTAGAATATAAATACGAAATCTGAGTAGATCTTTAATTTATTTGGAGCTTTGAAACTTAAATTATCATCTCATTTGAAACCCTCATGGTTTCCAGATTTGTCAGGCTTGTAATCTGTTGATATAATGCGGAAGAGAGCAAGAGTTTCTTACTGCAGAGAATGGCCAGAGTGCAGGAGTTAAAGTATTAGGCCAAGGAATATAATTCCATTATTGGAAAAGTACTTATTTCTGGTGAGGTTCTCTGCAACCCAGAGTCTATCCCAAAAGGATAGGGCACAGGCTTGGGCCACACACATAAGCAAACAGGCACATTTTGTTGACAAGATTAATGGCACGCACAGAGATTATCAATACAGCATTGGGGCCTTGCTTTAATTCCAAGTGTCAGCGTGGGGTTTGCATGATCTCCTCATCTTTATGTGAGTTTCCACTGGGTGCTCCGGTTCCCTCCTCACAGTCCAAAGACATACTGGTAGTTTAATTGACTTCCGGGAAGATTTGCCCTGGTGTGAGCGTGATGGACTGGCATCCCATCCAGGGTGTATCCTGCCTTGTGCCTGCTGCTTGCTGGATTAGGCTCCATCTCCCCCACAACCCTGTATTGGATAAAGCTGTTAGAATATTGATGGATTTATCTAGCCAACATGCTTACTATTAGATGAGAGGAAACCAGAGCTCCACCCAATTTATTTTTCAATTACTGTATTACTTTACCAGAGTTGTGACTGGAATGCTTTGAATTGTTCTCTGCTCCTCAGTGTTACAGTAGTTGTTTTACAGCCTCTGCTGCAATTGGTGATTACAGTAAACCAGATAATCTTTACATTCTTATCTATGTCATGAATGGTAATGATTATAAAAGTGAATAGAGCTTTAGTTGCATGATAATACTCACAGCCAGAGGAAGACTCTTTATCAGATGAGCAAATATGTATCATTTGGACCATGATAGTGCTGCAGGGTGGGTTTATTAAGCCCTTTTTGTTTTCAATCAATTGAGCATATTACATCAGAGATGTAATATGTTTGAACTGAAAGGAAAAAGAGGCCTGTTATATAAAGAAGACAACAGACTTGACTTGATTAGATTGGAAAAAGCAAGAAAACATGGAAACAGTTCTGAACATGGAAATGGCCATCCTTGATGTGAAGGAGGTACACAATAAGAGACATCTCAATAAAAGCAGCACAATCCTTTCTCTCTCAGCCACTTCCATTACACCGTCAGCATGAAAGATTGTCAGTTTTGTGTAAAAGTATTTCCCACAAAATCCCTTTTGGCAGAACAGCCTTTTACTGCAGGTTGCTAAGAAGACACCCCCATGCGCATCACAGAAAGCAGAACATCACATAAAATCAGATAACATTTTTTCTTCTTTGCCTCCTGAGATGTGGACAGATGAAATTCTATACTGTGCTGCTGTTTTTAATTTCTTTTTGCCCAGGAGGTGGTAGCACTCACTTTGGGCACTAATGCCAATAAGGTCACATGCCATGTGAAGAGGGTGGGTGGAGGTTTTGGTGGAAAGGTAATGAAGATTGCAGCTATTTCTGCAATAACAGCGACGGCAGCACACAAGTAAGTACATTTTGTTCACTGTTTACCTTTAGAAAATGCTTTCACCACCACAATTTAAATATTATAAGTACTGTACTGAATTGGATTGGAAAACAAAAAAACAAAAAAAAATGCCGGAACAAAAAGGTCATGATTTGAAACATTCAGAGCAGTAACGTAAACTACAAAAGAAATTAAAGCATGAACTGAGCATGCTTTTATCTAATTAAACGGGAACAGTAATGCTATTTGTACATTTCACATGTGTACATTACAAAGATTCAGCATTGATGAGTGCATTTCAAGCTGCAATAAAAGAGAATGTAAACTGTGACTTCACAAATCACCAATTTATATCACAAAATAGACTAAATTTCCAGGTATGCTCAGTGTCATGTTCTGTGATTCAGAATTTGGCATGACAACTTCCTGTGATGTGTTATTACATTGTAAACAAGCAAGTTTGTAAATACATCTCTTTCAATCCAATAGAATTAGTGTTCTCGACTTCAGATGGTTTAGCAGACAAATATTACTTGCTTGTTAACTCTGCATGCAGATCACGTTGGAACATTTCTGTGGTGAAATGTCTGCTGCACAACCCGTACTTATTTGCTCATTCTGTGGATTGCATTACAATAGTCATTACAGTGACTAGTGAGCAGGAAGGTGCTGCATCACGTTGCAATTCATGGGAAGTCTAATGCAATTTCACAACTGCATGCTGACCTACAGTACTTTCACAAAGTTCACGATTTTGTGATTAATTCAAAATTTGTAAAATAATGTCAATAAATGTATTTTGTTACCGAGATTTAATAACATTAAACATTGGGACTGCAGTTCCCATTTAATGGCTCTAAGTATTAATGAACAACCATTTCTGAATTTCCAAAAAACACAAATGGCAAATGCACGTTGTGTTTCTATAAGATGGCATCGGAAAATGACCAAATTAATTCATCCTGATACCACACAAATTGAATATCCCTTTGCCCTGGTAAGTGTAAGAGAGACCAACTATCAGTGCTCTGAATTTTGAAATTCATTCTGCCGTTTGCTGTTTCTTTCGTGGTGACCTAACGTTTTAAAAAGGTCATCCTCAGAAAAGCAGAAATGATCTTTGTGTTGCTATACTTCTGTGTGTGGTTTAAACATCAATTGTCTGATTGTCTGTATTACAATTCTTAAGACCAAGATATAACATTCATACAATACTTGTCAAAGCAGCTCTTCTATAGCAGGTATCTGTGTATAAAACTGTAGTCGTATTTCTAATTTTATTTCAATTAAATGTTGCTCATCCAGAACTGCAGTTAATTACTCTCTTTGTGGAAATCATCCTGCACAGTAAGGCCTGGAGTGGAACATAATTTCAGTATATGTTGACATAGTTACAGTATGTGATGTACAATTATGAAATCTTGACACTGTCAACGTTGAGTTTTTTCAGGAGTCATAAGATTAGGTGATTTTCTTTCTGTAGTGGAAGAAAACAACGGAAGTGATTTTTCAGTGAGTGGATGGAAACACGATCTTTACTGTTTGGTCTCTGTGACAACACATCACTGTCAGCAGGTTCTTATGTTCTCATCATGTTGCTGCTAAAGGCACCAACTGAGTTATAAAAGCAGACCTCTCCGTTCACTGGGCCAGCCTGCCCCCTGGTGGAACTGGAGAGCTGTGTTGATATCTACTCAGGCAGCCTCAGGTTTTGATAAAAGTGGTTTTGGACATGTGTCTAATTTAATTAGTGCTCCAGTATGGTAATGAAGCACTCAGAGTGAAAAATATCAGACCTTTTTTGTATTCAACGACCAGAAGGCACCATTCCCAGCCTGAGGCATATTTGGGTGTTTTTTAATTGTATGAATGACATTCAATAAAATTATCTGTCATTAAAAATGAGCATAATTCTAATGTAGGTGATGAAAATAGATTTAAAAAAACTATTCTGGGCTCTTCAAAAAGGTGGTATGATGGTGCAGTGGTTAGCATTGCTGCCTTGTAGCACTGTGGTCCTGGGACCAGTACTGGACCTGGGGTGCTCTGTGTGTGGGGTTTGTACAGTACATCCTCCCACAATTCAGCTACATGCTGGTAGGTTAATTGCCTCCTGAGAAAACTGGCCCTGGTGAGAGTGTGATGGATTGGTGTCCTATCCAGGGTGCTTCTTGCCTTGTGCCCGTTGCATGATGGGATAGGCTCTGACTCCCCGGCAACCATGTTTTAGGTAAAGTGGTTAGAAAATGGATGGATCATTTTCTTTTATCCCACCCTGAATAGTTGGGCTCCCCTATTCCTTTTTGTCCTATTTCCTTTCCTTTGCTATATTTTTTATGTATTTGTACTGTAAACCTAATCTGTCCTAGGTTATTGTGTTGGAATTGTGTGATTTGTACAATATGTTTTCATTTGTATTCTGTTGACTTAATTTTCTTTGTACCGTTTCAATGCATGTTTTGTGTATTGCATAAGAAGGAAAAAAAGAAAAAAAAAGGAAATGAGTAGATGCGGTTTTTGAAATCCAATGACATGATTTTTAAAGTATGCTGTGCCTACTGTGTGTATACCATTTTCAGTACTGTAAGTCGCATTACTTCAACGATTGATTAGGGGCACCACAAAACTCGAGGTTGCAGATAATACAGATACTTTCTTATGAAAAGATTATGACTGGGGTGTTTCTGTCTTTCCTGAAGGACAGGCCGTTCGGTGCGCTGTGTGCTGGACAGAGGGGACGATATGCTGATCACTAGTGGAAGACACCCCTTTCTGGGTAAATACAAGGTAATTTCCAAAGCATAGACTTTACTACATATTTATGCCATTCTTACAGTCCTCGGTTATTCATTCACATGTTGTCTTGCCATAGGTGGGATTCATGAATGATGGAACCATACTTGCAGCAGACATTACCTACTACAGCAATGGAGGAAGCACTTTGGATGAGTCTTCCTTTGTATGTCCACATTACAATTTACTATGCAATAGTACAAGTACATGGCATTACTGTGAGGTTCTGTGATTGGTATGTGAGTAAAGGAAAGATATTTAAAAATTAGGTTCTTATATATAGAATTGCTTTGATGAAAATGGATCCCTTTGATTATTCTTGTTGTTTTTGGGTTAGATTATGGAAAAAGCCCTGCTACACATGGACAATGGTTACAAAATCCCTAACCTGAGAGGAAGGGGCCTGGTCTGTAAAACGTATCTCCCATCGTACACTGCCTTCAGGGGGTTTGGAGGGCCTCAGGGTCTGACGATCATTGAGAGTGTGCTACATGAAGTGGCAGCCAAATGTGGCCTTCCTGCTGAGAAGGTGAGAGAAATATACTGTATATTTCAGCATCTATATTTCAGCATTCTCAATGGAATGGTTGTGCTATTTTGAGAAATGAAGTTAAACCAGTTTATGGCTGTTAAGGAATGTAGAAAATGACACCATATAATATATAAGTGCATTAGTCAGCATACTAATACTAATATTACGCAGTGCATACTGTAGCTGTGTCACTTAGCCATTCAAGTTTTACTCCAGAGATGACATCCCTACCAAGTCATAACAGATTAAATTAGCAAACTGCTCATTGGTGTTTTATATAATGCTAGGCAACATCAATACAACTCATTTGGGTTTGGGAGGTAGAAAAGGGAAGCACACTCATCCCGAAGGACACACTAAGGCCAATATTAAAGATAAGTGAAGAGAATTAGAATTGAGAAAAAATGTACCAGTCATGAAATAGGATGTAACTATTCCTATGACCACAGAACTTCAATACTGTCTCTCTAGGTGAGGGATATAAACATGTACAAGGAACCGTCTTACACTCACCACAAGCAGCTGGTCGACCCTCATAACATGGTGCGCTGTTGGGAGGAGTGTCTGAAGAAGTCGGCCTATCAGAACAGGAGGCTGGCCATCGAGGAGTTCAATGCCCAAAACCGCTGGAAGAAGAGAGGCATCTCCGCAGTGCCACTGAAATTTGGCATTGGCTTTTCCAAAGGCTTCTACAACCAGGTGCAGCAGCTCTTTCTCAGTTGGTTTCTAAAGTGTGAAAACAAACGAACCCATTTTGTACTGGACTAGCTACTCAAATTTCTGTGCGATTTAAAGTACAGTGTGGTTTGACAAAAAATCTGCATTGCATCCTTGTTAATAGTTCAGAACTTTATTCTTCATTGAAAAAGTGTTTTCCATGCAATGCACCCATTACTAATTAAAAAAAAACAGCTCTGAAAAATTCTAAGAATATTTCAAAATCCCTTCAATTCTCAATGCAACTATATTATTGCGATTAGTGTAAATTATATGGAGCAACTAATTTACAGTACTACAGTTGCTGAAAATGAACATACAAGTATGTAATCCATTAGTCACTACAGAAATGCTTACTTATTGAAGACAGCTTCTTTCTTTCCTTAGGGAGCTGCCCTTATTCATATCTATAAGGATGGTTCAGTACTGGTCACTCATGGTGGCACAGAGATGGGCCAGGGTATCAACACCAAGATGATCCAGGTGGGATGAGGTGTCATTGCATCTTCTCAAATGTTATGTGGACGACAAGTCTCAATAGTCATTAGAAAATTCAGAATCTTTCTGATTTTTGAAAATAGTTTATAGTTCAAAATCACTCAAAACTGTTAAAAAAGCAGCAGCATGAATCACGAGCACTGTTTATAAAGGATATTAGAAAGTACAAGAGAGAGAGATGGGCAGGAATATTGCAATTGAGGCTAAAGTAAATAATGAAACATTCTTTCAGTACTACAACAAAGGATCCAGTAAAATGTATGCAGGACATCAAATTTCTAGATAAGGAAGTGGCTGATGTACATAAATGAACAATTTCATTCAGGTATTGACTGTGAAGAAGACAACATTACGCCTCAGGCAGTGGAGGGACAAAGCTCTGTATTAAATAGCAGTAGCACAGAAGAGGCAAAAGTGTTTCAAGTTGTAGAAGCACTCAAGTTTAATATATCCCCAGGGCCCGATGGTATCTTACTAATTGTCCCCAAGGAAACAAGAGATATTATTCAGAAGCCATTGATGCAACTCTTCCAACAGTTTCTCAAGAGAGGGGCCCATGGGATAGTGCCCATCCACAAGAATGCTGACAAAACTGACCCAAGTAGTTATATACCGATAAATTTGACTACTGTTTCTGCATCTGGTTTAAAAAATAATCTGAAAAAATAAAGAGCCCAGATGGAACAAAAACTATGAGACACAATGATACGCCAGGGTGGTGAACCACTGTCCTGGTGAATACTGTATTTAACATGGTTTTAGAAATGTAGGTCTTGCCTGATCAAGAGAGCAATAGGATCTTCTTCAGTACAGTATGTGCTCCACTTACCAGAGAAAGTTAAACTTACCATGAACTTTGGAACTGTGAGTTTTGAGCATCTTTCGGTAGAGTTTTGAAAGTGTCTTAGAGGGAAAGACTTGTGAATGGTAAGCAGCCTAGGCATCCAACGTAATGGTCAGAAACTGTAAGAACACTAAAACTAGTTGTTGAAACTAGTTGTTGACTGTTTTGTGGTGTTTTTTTCAATTTTAAAAAACTGTAAAGAACACTATTTTGAATTTTATGGCTGCATAGGTATGTCTGTTGCCCTGGACTTGCATTACATTATGACATATTATAAAATTACAATAATAATAAGAATCATCATCATCATATAGCGCATTTCCAGACACTCCCGTTGAACACCAATAATGTGTAGCACCCATCTGGAAGATATGACATCGGCCAAAGTGCACCAGTACGCAACGTGTATCCCCCATGGTGCTCCAAACCCAAGACGTTTTACAAAAAGTTTTATTGTCTGAGTACATCTCTGGTCACCTCTGTTATTCCCATGAATGGGTATTCAGAGTGACCATTGCATTCAGTATGCATTAGAAGTATACACAATATGGCACAATGGCTATTTCTGATAATGTTACCCCCAACTTTCAGTTAGTTGTTCTCAGTATTAAATTTTACTCGAGCCAGGGCAGGTCCGGATTCTACAAGTCAAAATACACAAGCAGCTAATAAAAAATTCTAGACAATAATTACAAAATAGGAAAATTGGTATTGTGGCATTCAAAGGCAATAGTTGTGTGGTAAACTAATCTAAAATATCTTGAGTCTGCGAATATTAAGTATTGTATTAGGATGCCTGTGAAAAAGCGATGAACCATCATGAACTACCAAATAATTTAGATGGGATGAATGGCCTCCTCTCATTTCAAATTGTTCTTAGTTTCTTCTTATGTTTTAATGCCCTGTGGTATTTCAATAGCTTTTTAAAAAAGCTTTCACCATGCTTAAGTATGAAGGTTTATGGGTGAGACATCGGCCAGTTCCACCTAAGCAGGAGTAAGGCACGGTGAAGGGCATTTGCTGGAAGACTTTGGTATTTTAATATAAATTCTGTACTGGTCTTTTGCAGGTTGCCAGCCATGTCCTGAAGATCCCCGTGTCTTTAATTCACATCAGTGAGACATGCACAGGAAATGTGCCCAATGCTGCCCCATCTGCAGCATCCTTTGGCACAGACGCAGTTGGCATGGCTGTGAAGGTTGTGGATATGCAAATATACCCTCCACATTCACCCATCTCTCACAGTTACTGTGAACATACTGTACAGAGAAGGTTTAATCTGATCTTCAATACAAAGCAGAGCAAATTCTGGAGTCAGAGCTCTAAGAGCACACAACCGATAAGACAAAAATAAAGAGGAGATGCAAATGGATGAAATAATTGAAGGCAAACTTTATCATCTTTAACAACATGTACAGCAGTTAGAATATCCAGTTAGGCATGATTAGAAATTAAGGCAGAGAGCACATAACCACATATTATCATGTCAAACAGGGAAGTTAGCATAATTCAATCAAAAATATTATTTTTGACGGCAGTGTCCACAAAAACAAAACCTTCAAATAATAAGTTAAAATCTGAAGTACGCATATTTAAAAACGTGTTCAAGTTGTTATTGTGAACTGTGATGTTTCGCCTAAAGGGGTGTTTCTGAATGGCTTTTAACAGTCAGGAAATGATCAAATATTTATGTGATCACGTGATAGCACAATTGCCATACTGCATAATACCTATATCGCTACGTGCGGACTTACAGTTTTAAGCAGTAGGACTGACTGCACGTGTGACTGTTAATAACAGATCCATTATTGCTTTAATCTCGAAATCCCACAAAGGTGGTCCTCATGCTTATGATGATTCTGTTCATATTTGCTAAAAATTGCAAGATTTCATTACGACCCAGTCGAAAGTAAATCCCTACGAATTCTGCACCACTGGATGTTGACACGACCATTAAACCGGAAGTGCCAGTCAAGTTTACAATAGCTTCTAGATGCGTTCAATGCACAACATAACAAGTTGTACATATACTGAAGTAATCGTTGCTATCTCGTAATTATTTTTTTTCCCTTGGTGGCAGCAATGCGCTTCCGTAGTAAAGACAAAATATACAAGCAGTACATGAAAAATCACGGGAAATAATGTCTAAATTGGAAAAACAATAAAGTGGCTTTAAAGGTATTGGTAGTGTGGCAAACCGATTATCTGCTAAATTAAAATATTAGTCCTAATAGAATATTAATATTAATATTAATTATCAATTAGGATGGCTGTGAAAAACTGATGAACCGTCTTGAGCCAATCATGAGAGAGCACCCCAAATACACCTGGGCAGAGTGGGTAAGGATTTACGATACTCACCCGACAATCAGAGTAACTGTTAACAGTCCTTTTCGGAGAAATAGCTATTTATCTTTTCACAAACTGTCGTAATTGTACATTTCTTCAAACAAAAGTTCTCTCTTATCTGGTTTGAAAACATTTAGTCTGAAAGTATTTAAATCTGAAGCAATTTTATTTCCTCAAAAATCAAATTAGCCTAGATTTCCAGTGCAACATGTTAGCAATAACGATGGATTTGAAAAGGTCTAGGTTAATAATATTAATCATATAACTAATATTTATTTGATCAATTATGGAAGTATCATCATAACAAGAGTGATGGTGTTATAAATTGCAGTCTTACTAAAAACGGTAGTAGATGCACTGTATAGCAGCTGTGCTACTTAAAAACATACAGTGTATATATATAATTTATATGCATACTTATAAATCACTCAACACAGAGCAGTGTGGCAGTATAAACACATGATTATAAAACAAGCAATAGTGCAAGACATAACATTTGATTTTTTTAAGATGGACTATTAAATCTAATATTTGTGTTAATCCGTTTAACAGATAAAAGAGGCTTACTGTCAGAAAGTGAGCTTATCTGCAACAGGCTTCTTCATGTAAGTTATCTTCACCTTGTTTAACCCGAGGGTACATTTGTCTTCTGTAGTAAGACCAGTTACCAACAGGAGAAAATTAAGATGGAGCAACTTAATTGCTCTCCTTTTCAGTAAAGCATTTAAAGTTTTATGTGATCAATGTGATTAAGATTGAGCCCTAAACAACTATTTTCACCACAGGGGCCCCCACACAAGTGTCGACTGGGAAAAGAGTGAGGGACAGGCCTACTATTACTTCACCTTTGGAGCCTGCTGCTCAGAAGTAGAAATTGACTGCCTAACTGGAGATCATAAGGTGCCTCTCTGTTTAAAGGGCTTGAAATCAGAGAAAGTGCAATTGACTTTTTCCTCATGTCTCTTGTCATTTCCACTGTCTTTTAACTGTTAACACTTATTTTCTGAATTGCAGAATGTAAGAACGGATATCGTGATGGATGTTGGCCAAAGCCTCAACCCAGCTCTTGACATCGGGCAGGTATACATGTACTGTATGCTTTCACAACTGCTTCTGTGTGGCAGATGAAAAGATTGGCCAATAATGCAGCCAAACACAATCATCTTTGTACATTCTAAGTAATAATACAGTACATCAATGTCAATAACTGCTTATCAATTCAGGGTCATGATGGACCGGAGCCTGTCCTGGGAAGCATTGGGCACCTAGCAGGAGACACCCTGGACAGGATACCGAGATACACACACAGGGCACGCATAGACACAGACACTCACACCAGGGCCAATTTTACAGAAGCAAATTAAAATACTAGTAGTTTGGACTGAGGAAAATGGAGCAGCCAGACGAAAAGTGCAAAGTACTTGCAGCCAGCAGCCATATCACCCTGCAACTCACAACTGGCAACCCACTGCTGCTAAGCAGGTGTGAGCCTGGTCAGTACCTGGATGGGAGACCTCCTGGGAA